AGTGCTGCAATAAACATAATGTGTACATGTGTCTTTATAGTAGCATGATTTGTAATCCTTTGGGTATATACCCAGTAATGGGATCACTGGGTCAAATGGTGTTTCTAGTTCTAGATCCTTGAGGAATAGCCACACTGTCTTCCACAGTGGTTGAACTAATTTACACTCCCACCGACAGTGTAAAAGTGTTCCTATTTCTCCACATCCTCTCCAGCATCTGTTGTTTCCTGACTTTTTAATGATCACCATTCTAACTGGCATGAGATAGTATCTCACTAGGGTTTTGATTTGCATTTCTCTGATGACCAGGGATGATGAGCATTTTTTCGTATGTCTGTTGGCTGTGTAAATGTCTTCTTTTGAGAAGTGTCTGTTCATATCCTTTGCCCACTTTTTGATGGATTTTCTGTTTTTTCTTGTAAATTTAAGTTCTTTGTAGATTCTGGATATTAGCTGTTTGTCAGATGGGTAGATTGCAAAGATTTTCTCCCATTCTATAGGTTGCCTGTTCACTCTGATGATAGTTTCTTTTGATGTGCAGAAGCTCTTTAGTTTATTTAGATCCCATTTGTCTATTTTGGCTTTTGTTGCCATTGCTTTTGGTGTTTTAGTCATGAAGTATTTGCCCATGCTTATGTCCTGAATGGTATTGCCTAGGTTTGCTGCTAGGGTTTTTATGGTGTTAGGTCTTACATTTAAATCTTTAATCCATCTTGAGTTAATTTTTATATACCATGTAAGGAAGGGATCCAGTTTCAGCTTACTACATATGGCTAGCCAGTTTTCCCAGCACCATTTGTTAAATAGGGAATCCTTTCCCCATTTCTTGTTTTTGTCAGGTTTGTCAAAGATCAGATGGTTGTAGATGTCTGGTGTTATTTCTGAGGACTCTGTTCTGTTCCGTTGGTCTGTATATCTACTTTATAGCAGTGCCATGCTGTTTTGGTTACTGTAGCCTTGTAGTATAGTGTGAAGTCAGGTAGTGTGATGGCTCAGCTTTGTTCTTTTTCCTTAGAATTGTGTTGGCTATGTGGGCTCTTTTTTTGTTCCATATGAACTTTAAAGTAGTTTTTTCCAATTCTGTGGAGACAGTCAGTGGTAGCTTGATGGGGATGGCATTGAAACTATAAATTACCTTGGGTAGTATGGCCATTTTCATGATATTTATTCTTCCTATCCATCAACATGGAATGTTCTTCCATTTGTTTGTGTCCTTTTTTTTTTTTTTTTTTTTGGTTGAGCAGTGGTTTGTAATTCTCCTTGAAGAGGTCCTTCACATCCCTTGTAAGTTGGATTCCTAGGTATTTTATTCTCTTTGAAGCAGTTGTGAATGGGAGTTCACTCATGATTTGGCTATCTGTTTGTCTGTTATCGGTGTATAGGAATGCTTGTGATTTTTGCACATTGATTTTGTATCCTGAGACTTTGCTGAAGTTGCTTTAATCAGTTTAAGGAGATTTTGGGCTGAGACGATGGGGTTTTCTAAATATACAATCATGTCATTTGCAAACAGGGACAATTTGACTTCCTCTTTTCCAAGTTGAATGCCCTTTATTTCTTTCTCCTGCCTGATTGCCCTGGCCAGAACTTCCAACACTATATTGGACAGGAGTGGTGAGAGAGGGCATCCCTGTCTTGTACCAGTTTTCAAAGGGAATGCTTCCTTGTTTTGCCCATTCAATATCATATTGGCTTTAGGTTTGTCAGAAATAGCTCTTATTATTTTGAGATACATCCCATCAATACCTAATTTATTGAGAGTTTTTAGAATGAAGGGCTTTTGAATTTTGTCAAAGACCTTTTTCTGCATCTATTGAGATAATCATGTGGTTTTTGTCTTTGGTTCTGTTTATATGATGGATTACATTTACTGATTTGCGTATGTTGACCCAGCCTTGCATCCCAGGGATGAAGGCCAATTGATCATGGTGGATAAGCTTTTTGATGTGCTGCTGGATTCTGTTTGCCAGTATTTTATTGAGGATCTTTGCATCAATGTTCATCAGGGATATTGGTCTAAAATTCTCTTTCTTTGTTGTATCTCTGCCAGGCTTTGGTATCAGGATGATACCGGCCTCATAAAATGAGTTAGGGAGGATTCCCTCTTTTCCTATCGATTGGAATAATTTCAGAAGGAATGGTACCCGTTCCTCCTTGTACCTCTGGTAGAATTCGACTGTGAATCCGTCTGGTCCTGGACTTCTTTTGGTTGGTAGGCTATTAATTATTGCCTCAATTTCAGAGCCTGTTAGTGGTGTATTCAGGGATTCAACTTCTTCCTGGTTTAGTCTTGGGAGGGTGTATGTGTCCAGGAATTTATCCATTTCTTCTAGATTTTCTAGTTTATTTGCGTAGAGGTGTTTATAGTATTCAGCTGAGATGGCTAAGGGAGGTTCTGTATTTTACAGAGGGCCGGCGGACTGACTGGAGTGCAAACTCTCCAGGGCACGTTTTTATCATGATGACAGTGTAAGAGAGAGAACAGAAGCACTCAAGGCTTAGGATCTGGACTGGCACACTCCCACTTCCTTCCACTGTCTATTTCATTATTTCCTTGACTGACACTGTTACAAACCCTGTGAGGTCATGCAAAACATCTGGACACAGTTTTCTAAAATTTTATGAATCTGTTGTCTTGGGCTTGATGGTTTTCTTGGCTTTTTCAGTAACAACTATGACATCTTTGATGATATAATCCCTCCAGACTTTCATGATGTTCTCTATTGGGATTCTCTTCCATAGTGTTGACAGACTTCCATAGAATACTGTGTGTAATGAGTCTTAAATGTCCTTATGACCTCCTGATGTAGAGGCTGAATTAGAGCTGTCATGTTTGCGGGCAAGTGGACCACTTTGACACCTTCAGTGTGAAACTCATGGAGTTCTGAGTGGCCAGGGATGTTGTACAGTTATCACAAAATTTTTAAAAGACAGTCCCTTAGTGGCAAGGTACTTCCTGACTTCAGGAACAAAATGTTGATGGGACCAATCCGGAAAAAGGATTCTCATTGTCCATGCCTTTTTGTTGCCTTGCCTCCTTCTTTTGGCCTTCTTTTCCCTTCAAGGCTTGAGGTTAGCAGCTTTATAGATAAGGGCAGTTCTGATGATAAACCCAACTGCATTTGCACAAAACAGTAGAGTTAGCATGTCCCTTCCTGCCTTAAATCCTGGTGTTCACTTTTTCTTACTAATAAATGTCCTCTGTGGCATTTTTTTTTTTCCTGGAATAAGACATTCTCATCTGCATTAAAACTCTGTTCAGGCAGATATTGTTTCTACTCAATTTTTTTCTTTTTCTTTTCTGTTTTGTTTTGTTTTGTTTGTTTGTTTCTTTGTTTTGAGAGAAAGAGAGAGAAGGTCTCACTTTGTCACCCAGGCTGGGCTGGAGTACAGTGGCATGATCACAACTCACAGTAGCCTCGACCTCCTAGGCTCAAGTGATCCTCCTGCCTCACCTCCCCAAGTAGCTGGTACTACAGGCACATACCATCATGCCCAGCTAATTTCTGTATTTTTGGTTGATACGGTGTTTCACCATGTTGTTCAGGCTGGTCTCAAACTCCTGAGCTCAATCAATCTGTCCACCTCAGCCTTTCAAAGTGCTGGGATTGCAGACAGTCATGCCTGGCCAATTATTATTATTATTATTTTCAAGCAGCTTACATGGAAACCAATTATTTTCTTAATGGCATCTGGGAACTGATCTGCTGCCTCTTGGCTGACAAAAGCTGCACCTTCTCTTGTTGTGACATTTTTAAGGCCAAACCACTTTCTAAAAGTATCAAACCATCCTTTGCTGCCATTAAATTTTCCGGGTTTAGATCCTTTACCTTCCTTTTGCTTTAAGTTGTAGTATAAGGACTTCACTTTTTCTCAAATCATGTTAGAGTCTATATGTAGACTTTTCTTGTAACAGCCATGCACCCACAAAAAGTGCATTTCGATACAAGATTGAAAGGTATTCACAAAAAAGTACAAGGTTTTTGTGTCTGCTGATGTAGCTGCAGCAATGGCTTCATGATTTTCCTTTTCTTTTTTTATAATTGCCCTTAAGTTTGATTCATTTATCTTGAAATGCTAAGCAACCACAGCTGTAGACCTCAATCTGTGGTTCATATCAAGCAAATCAACTTTTTCTTGTAATTTTATGACTTTCCTGTACTTGAGAGTACTTCCAGCATCACTGGTGGCTCTTTGAATGAGTCTCACAATGTATTCACGGTTTACAGTATTGCATAAAACATGGTGGAAAATACGCAAGAACCATGAGAGATTACTTCCTACTCTCATATACAATTTATGGAGAGAGAACTGCTCAAACAGCATTTTAAGTGGATACAACACTAGCGCTAACTGCAATATCAACAGAGGGTAGCTATAAAATTATTACAGTAATACAGTATTACTACACTTAAATTTATTGTTATGGTTTAGTACTATTAGGTTGGCAAAAACCGCAATTACTTTTGCACCAACCTAATACATCTTTACATTTCTTTATGTTTCTCTTGACTATGAGTGGCACTATGTATGTTTGTGTTTTGTGTGTAAATTTTGATATGTTTTAACTTTTTATGATAGATTTCTGTATATTTTGTGGTAGTAAATAATAAAATACACTCATATTTACATATATTTTATGCATTCATAACATATCTTTAAAATATTTTTTAAATTTTTAAATATTTTTAGGCTATGTGTTTTATCTGCAAATTTTTTCAAATTGTCTCAAATCTCTAAAATTTGCAATGTAATTATTGAAAAATATCCACATGTAAGTGGACTAGCACAGTTAAATGATTTTGTTCAAGGGTCAACTGTAATTCCAAATAAATGCCAAATTCAACAGGACACCAGTTTTAATATTACATTGTTCAATATTTATCTCTGATCACAAAGTATCTGAGGCAAATATCATGCTAGATTTCTACTGCTTGCAAAGATAAAAACTCAGTGCTCTGGATATTAAATTTTATGATATATGTTTCATTTTTGCTTAGGTAAATATGCTGAAGATATATTTGGAGAATTATTCAATGAAGCACATAGTTTTTCCTTCAGAGTCAACTCATTGCAAGAACGTGTGGACCGTTTATCTGTTAGTGTTACACAGCTTGATCCAAAGGAAGAAGAATGTAAGCTTATTAATATTGTATTTTCTTCTGTGTATATATTTTAAGTTAGATGAGATGAATGATATATTTAAGAACAATATTAATCATGAATGTATTACAGATCATACCCATGTCCTTTGGTGTACATATTGTAATAAATCAGTGAATTATCTAAAAATGCCATCGGTATGACTCTCCTGACTTTTCTTTTCTACTGTTTTAAATCTCTTCTTTTTGTACACTAAACAGCTCCTAATTTTGGCATAAATAAGTCATTTTAACCAGATATTTTCCTCCATTCTCTTCATTCTCTTTCTCTTTTCTCCCTTATAATTTATTTGTATACTTTTGTCTTAGAAATAAAAACTATTAGAAAATTACCTGAAATCTTTAGGTTTGACTCTTCAAGAATGTAACTACATTTTTTTGAGACAGAGTCTCACTCTGTCACCTAGGCTGGAGTGCAGTGGCACGATCTCAGCTCACTGCAGCCTCCACCTCCCAGGTTCAAGTGATTCTCCTGCCTCAGCATCCTGAGTAACTGGGATTACAGGTGCCTGCCCCCATGCCTGGCTAATTTTTTTATTTTTAGTAGAGATGGGGTTTTGCCATGTTGGTCAGGCTGGTCTCGAACTCCTGACCTTGTGATCTGCCTGCCTTGGCCTCCCAAAGTGTTGGGATTACAGGCGTGAGCCACCGCACCCGGGCATATAACTGCTTTTAATATGCTTTTTTATGTGCATATTGCTAAAGTCTTACTAGTTATTTAACTGAATGCAACTTCCTACTTTAAATGAACATTTCAAAAACAAATTGCCAGTATGTAGGGTGTAAACATTCTATACCAAGATATTAAATCAGGAATAATCAGGTAAGGAAGCCACCCTATAAGCTAAAATAACTGTAGAAACTTCAGTGGTAAAATCATGTTTTATGCCTTGATAGAATACGTTCAATACCGATGTTTCCTAAATGCCTCTTTTTGTTTGTTTTACAAAAAGAAATGTAATACTAAGAACATAATTTGCACTTACCTACCACAGAGAATTGTTTAATGGAATTTCTTACACTCTCTTCAAAATATTTTTGTAGCATTAAATAATATATATGCAAATTATATAATAGATATAATTTTTAGTGTAAATGCAAATTATATAATAGATCTGAACTTTAACAATAAAAATACTAAAGGATGTCACTGGAAAGAACAAAAATATAATGTAATGACGGATGTCTTAGTGATGGAACCAGCTATTTTTGAAATAATCTGATGTGTAAATAAGGAGAGGTAAATACTTGGCACACTAGATTTCTACCACTTGTAAAATGTAAACTCAGAGCTCTGGATACAAGAAAAAAAGGAAATAATACTTAAAAATAGCTTTATTAAGATATATTTCACAACCTACCTATACCTTGCAGTTCACCCATTTAAAGTTGAAGTGTACAGTTCAGTGTTTTTTAGTATATTCAAGTTATGCAACCATCACCACAATCAATTTTAGAGTATTTGTATCACTCCAGAAAGAAGCCCTGTACTCATTAGCAGTCACTCTGTTTCCCCTTCAGCTCAACCCCTAGCAATCACTGATCTTTCTGTCTGTATGGATTTGCCTGTATGGATTTGTCTGTATGGATCTGTCTGTATGGATATTTCATATGAATGAATAGTACAATATGTGGTCTTTTGTGACTGACTTCTTTCGTTTAGCATAATGTTTTCAAGGTTAATTCATATAATGTGTATTTATATTTCCCTGATGGCTAATGATGTTGAACATCTTTTCATGTGCTTATAGGCCATTTGTATATCTTCTTTGGAGAAATGTCTATGTAATTCCTTTGCCCATTTATAATTTGGATTATTTGTGTTTTTATTTTTGACTTGTTGGAATTCTGTGTATATTTTGGATCTAAATCCTTTATCAAATAATGATTTGCAAATATTTTCTCCCATTCTTTAGGTTGTCTTTCTTGGTGGTGTCCTTTGAAACATGTGCATGTATCAATATATTAATTACACCTCATGGAATTCTTGAAATAAAATCATTGTTAGTGATGAAAAAATACTTTATGGTCATGCTTTCAGATATATAATTTATAGCCAAAATTTGTTTTTTAGATAGCTCAACTATTTCTAACTGAAATATAAATTTATGCCATCAAATAATAGAGAAATACACGGGCAGTTCTCATATGTAACAGAAATAAAAGTCAACATTTAGTTTCAAAATATTGTTACATTTTAACAAACGTCTTAGAACCACCGTTAAACTTGAAAGTGAAAATACAGATAACAGTAAATAAGATGTTTGTGTTAAAAAACAAATTTTAATATTTCAACAACTATACTGTCAGAATTATACATAGTTTCCTTTAAAATTTTGTGGAGCAGTGGGGGAAGAATTCAGAATCTAAAAGCTGAACTACTTCATTTGAAATTGTTTTGGAGAGGTTGTATTGAAGGAGTTTTCAGTTATTTAACCTTGGTTTTTTAATTCAGTGGGAGTTCAAAAAAATAACATCATGTGTACAGTACTAAATTGCATAGTGTGGTATCAGTTTTTTTAACCATTTTGTAGTAACTGAAAACTATCAACTTCGAAAATATTTTTAAATGAATTTTAAACAAAGACTTGTACAATTATATTTAAGTCAATTATGAATTATGTTTATAAACATTATACTGATTTATTGCTTTATAATTCTATTTTATTAATATCAGATGTTATTGTTGGCAAGTGGAAGGGGCTTCACCACAATGGTCAGTTAATAATAAGACAAGCGATAAATGGGAGGAGTTGAAGGTAGAAAAGTACAACATGCTTATTACTTTACATGTTTCTTATATCCTTTACCAAGGAAGTTTGGGGAGATTAAACACTAGGTTTCATCTTAGTTACATACTTATTGATTAATAAGTGGGGTAGGAGAGTGGCAAGAATTGATCCACTTTGACTGCAGAAAACACAAGCCACTTCTGGCAGGAGCCTGAAAACAGTGTGTGGTATTGTGGCAAAAAAATTAGCCTTAAAGGTAAACAGATCTAACTTCTGTGTTCTGGCTCTTCTGTTTATTAACTGTTTAACCTCAGGTCAGTTATATACTATTTCCTAGCCTTGGCTTTCTTGTAATATTTCAAAATGGAATAATTCATATCTTACTGAATTATAAAGATTAAATGAAATGAAAGTTAGTGAAACCATCTAGCACATATAGTATGTACTCATTAAATACTGTATCTCCAGTGCCAGTTTTTAGTGACGGTGGGAAAAAACTTTTTGCTTCTCTGAATTTTAGTATTTATAAGTGTGTTACAGGTCATGCAGCAGTGGAGTTGCTAGAAATGCAGTTATGGTGCCGCTGTTGCAGAGCCAGCCTATTGCACCACCTGTGCCATTGGTCCCGTGTTCATGTTGAGTGAATTTACTTGAGAAGATGATAGGAAAATTATTTTAGGGAGAAGGATAACTTAAGAATTGTTGGCCGGACATGGTGGCTCACACCGGTAATCCTAGCACTTTGGGAGGCTGAGGTGGTCAGGAGTTCAAGACCAGCCTGGCCAACATAGTGAAACCTCATCTCTACTAAAAATTAAAAAAAAAAAAAAATTAGCCAGCCATGGTGGCAGTTGCCTGTAGTCCCAGCTAGTTGGGAAGCTGAGGCAGGAGGGAGGAGGAGGAAGGAAGAGGAGGGAGTAGGAGGTTGCAGTGAGCCGAGATCGCACCACTGCACTCCAGCCTGGGTGACACAGTGAGACTCTGTCTCAAAAAAAAGAATTGTTAGGATTGTTATACTGACCTTGCTATGAGGGTATTTGTCTGTATACTTAAGGCCATATTAAATATCTAGGAAACTACTTTATTTTTTAATATCAGGAGATCACTCTAAGAGTTAAGAATGCAGCATTTTTGTATATTTGTTATTTTAACATGCTGCACAGTTCAAAATAAATGAAGTTATTTTTAAATCATCACATATGTGATGGGGCTGTGCTATTACTGGGAATACTAACGTATAAGATAGTCTGAGTCTTCAAGAGCTTATAGTTAGGTAGAAATCCTTATAGTACAGATAAAATATAAGTTAAAAAGAATAATATAGATCACCCAATACTTAAAAATATTTCCTTTACAGTAAAGTTTGTTTTAACTTGATAGTACACACAAAAGATTTATAGCATACGTAGTGTAGAGGTTAACAGCGTGTTTAACCCACAGTGCCACTAATAAGTAAGTAATTCCTTTCAGAGTTACTGATGTAAGCTAAAAAGAAGGAATAAAGGGAGATGGAAAAGAAGATTAATAGGAGAAGAGAACCTAAGTTGGTAGGGACCCATGATGGCAGGTAGAAGAAAGAAAAAGGTATATTTGGTTGAAATGTAGATATGTTTCAGATGTCTTTAGGGCCTTCTGAGCCCTAGAAATCAAAGGTTAATTAAAACCTATCTGATTGGGAAATTAGGCACAGAATGATAAGGGTAAATATAATGATAGAACATTTATAATGTGGTTTCTGATTCATAAGCCACTAAGGTCACAACCTCTTGAACCGTGCTGACTTTTAGACAAATACAGTATATGAATTTGCCCTTATGTTAAATCATCTTAGTAAAATAAAATAAAATGAATTCTTGATTTTTGTTTCAGTGTCTTTGCAAGATATAACAATGAGGAAAGCTTTCCGAAGTTCTACAATTCAAGACCAGCAGCTTTTTGATCGCAAGACTTTGCCTATTCCATTACAGGAGACGTACGATGTTTGTGAACAGCCTCCACCTCTCAATATACTCACTCCTTATAGGTAGGTAGGTTAATAAATGGTAGCCCTATTATTTATCTCAGACTTCAGATTGAAATGCTAAATCCCCAAACATTCTTTATTTCATTGGGCTTCTAGCCAACACAGAGAGCCCTCTCTGTCCACCACTTTTGGAAAAACCTTTGTTTTATTCACTGGATGAATTCCTAAGATTCTGGCATACAAAAGACAAGACCTATTCAAAAGAGTTGTTTTGACAAGTTAAGCCACTGGTAAACTTATTAATATAAAGAGATAAGGAGTCATAATTGTCCTTTTAATTTAATTTTTAACCAAATGGAAAAAGCTCAAAATTCTGTCCTTCTAACAAAATAAACATTATAATTTTTGCTTGTTTTGTCTACTCTTTTTTTTTTTTTTTTTTTTTTTTTTTTTTTTTTGAGGCAGAGTCTCGCTCTGTCACTCAGGCTCACTGCAAGCTCCGCCTCCCGGGTTCATGCCATTCTCCTGCGTCAGCCTACCGAGTAGCTGGGACTACAGGTGCCCATCACCAAGCCTGGCTAATTTTTTGTATTTTTAATAGAGATGGGGTTTCACTGTGTTAGCCAGGATGGTCTCCATCTGACCTCGTGATCTGCCCGCCTCGGCCCCCCAAAGTGCTGGGTTTACAGGTGTGAGCCACTGCGCCCGGCCTGTTTCGTCTACTCTTGATTTGTGTGCATTAACTGCTTATATAATGAATAGGTAGTACCTTAAAATGCTTTTTACCACTTTGAATAAAATCTGGAATTATTTAACCTTTTTTTGAAGTTCTTTCATGTGGTTTGTTAAATGGGTAATTTAAGATGTATGACACATCCTGAATAAAATAGTATTTAGAGAGTTATTTGAAATTGTAAGTCAGTGTGCAGATCATTAGATATAAATGTGACTATTAGAATGACTATTACGTGATGTATTTTGGATTTAGTAAGATAAATCATAGTATTGGCAGAAACTTCAAAATTTCTCTATTCTAGATGATGTTATTGTCTTTTCAGGCTTTTATCTTTGGCAGAGCTATGTGTAATTATTGGAATTGCCCAAAGGACTTTTGAGAAAATTTGGGATTCAGCAGAAGTTAGGAATGAAAATTGCCTAGCTGTACTTTGAAGTATTAGTTAGTACTAACTCAGAAAAGCATCTGGTTTTCCTCTTTTCTTTGTTTCCTCAGATTTGTGAGAAATTTTCTATTGGTGCAATATTCAATTTTATTTTGTCAATATTTTAACACGTGCTGTATTTTATTGATATAAGAGGATAAACATTTTAGTGAAATTATTCCTGTTCTGATTGCCTAAGTCTTACTAATGTGTGTTTTAATTGATACATTTCAGAGATGATGGTAAAGAAGGTCTGAAGTTTTATACCAATCCTTCATATTTCTTTGATCTATGGAAAGAAAAAATGTTGCAAGATACAGAGGATAAGAGGAAGGAAAAGAGGAAGCAGAAGGTATTACAAGAGATTAAAAAATTGAGGTTAATTTTTGTATATTTGTGTTTTGTTGCATATATTGAACTTCATTAATCTTGTATTTTGACAGTTTTATTTTATTGGGTCCATATAGTTAAATACTGAAGTCTTTATAACTCCACAGAAAGAACACAGTCTGATGGGGAGCAGATGAGCAATTAGGTTATTAGAGTATGGCATAAGTGCCATAGCAGAGGTATGCATAAAGGATTTAGATAACACAAAATAGCATCTGCTTTAGCTAGCAGCCAGGGTAAACACTTCCAACAAAGCTTATAATGAATCTGGAAGAACAGATAGGAGTTAGTTAGGTGGACCAAGGAAGAGAGGAACATTTTGGTAAAAAGGAACAATGGAATCTTATACAGATATTTGTAACGTAGATTAAGCTAATATTTTCTTGCTACAGAGCACATCCTAAACGTTTCTCTCCTAAATGTGTTGGAGAGGTTATTATATTCACATGAAATTTCTGTTATTTCTGTTGTCATTTTCCACTTTCTAATAAAATTCACTTCTATCTGCTTTATATTTCATGTTAATGATAACTGAAAACACAGAAGGTTGAAGCAAAGTTAGATTTAGGCTGAATTATGAAGGAGGCAAGTTCTGTCTTTATCATCTCTCTGGTTCTCCTGTAACTATCTCTGCTTTCCCTAATCCCTGTATAATGCTGTTGTATTGTCTTCTTTGCTAGATGGTAACCCAGTATTCTAGCTAACATTTGCAAACTAGTGACTGGCAAGCCAGATTATGCCTGTAGGGAGTGTTTCATTTGCCAAACACACAGGTTTTTAAATTTCGGAACTAGAGTGCCTGAGATGGACATATCTGTCTAGCTCACCACATGCCCCATCTTACACCCGACTGACTTCATGTATGTTATCTGCTTGGCCGCTTTGGACATTTGAATTTGTTACACTTACTCTAGCCCTTTCTATACTTTCTCCCCCAGTTTTGAATCACTTTTTGTTTTATTGTTTAAAGACAGTGTTTTCTGTTGAGTGATATAGTTATTATGGATTAATTAGATAATTGAATTTTTTTCTAAAGTGTTGGCTAACTAATAGTTACTTCCCAGATAACATAACCTTAGTACATTTTCACATTTTGATTAGAGGTAGGCAATGCCATTAATGGTAGAAATTTCAAACTAATGCCTGTGGAGCAAGGGTTCATGAATCTTTTTTCATGTGAAAGACTTTCTGACCTCAAATTGTATTCTTTAGGCATACTATTTTGTGTCTGGCGCCATCAGTTCGAATTAGGGGTTAAACAAAACATGGCAGGAAACTGGGACTATAGCACACTGGCTAAGATTTAACTCGGAATGTACAAGTGAGCCATTTCTGTGTTACTTTTACTATATTACGATGACATTGTCTTTTTTAGTGTTGATGTTAGAATTTTATTTTGATTGTTATAACCTCTTTTTAAAAAAATTAGCACTTAAGCATTTGACTTTGTTTCAATACATCTGTTATAGCAGAAAAATCTAGATCGTCCTCATGAACCAGAAAAAGTGCCAAGAGCACCTCATGACAGGCGGCGAGAATGGCAGAAGCTGGCCCAAGGTCCAGAGCTGGCTGAAGATGATGCTAATCTCTTACATAAGCATATTGAAGTTGCTAATGGTCCAGCCTCTCATTTTGAAACAAGGTTTCTTTACTTTTGTTTTTGTTTTTTTTAAAAAATGATAAAACATTGGCTTTATTTGTAATATCTGTACTTCTAAGTCTTGAGTCCTAAACTGTTGAACAGGCAGACCCTGTTATAAATATAGAGATTACTTCAAAATCCCGACCACTGTGGGCCTACTAAAGTCAGGCCTTGAGCCGGTCATTTTCATACCTGGACTTTAGTTTTGTCATCTGTAGAAAGAGGTGGTTGGAGTGGCTGATCTTTAGGGTTGTTTTAGCTTTAGTGTGAAATCTCAATAGTCTCTCAATATTTCAGGCACAGTCTGCTAGAATTTTGTAATAGAAGTGTAGGGTCTGGGATTTTTTTGAAATACTGTTGATTTATTGCATATAAAATAGGAGTGAAGAAGGGGTTCTGTTTTGTTCCTTTTGCTTTCCCCTGACTTCCTTTCTTTGCCACATCACCCACCTCAGATACATTAGAACTTTCAAACAAAAGTATTCATCCCTTTTGTAGAAAAGAATAGGTCTTTTTCCTTTCTCAGTGGCCAGGGGCCCTAACTGAATAACATACTACCAGCAAACACATTAAACTGGCATCTCTCTATGAAGACATTTACTTGGGTATAGTCATGTTTGTTTGTTTGTTTTGAGACAGAATCTCACTCTATCACCCAGGCTGGAGTGCAGTAGTGTGATCTCGGCTCACTGCAACCTCTAACTCCTGGGTTCAAGCGATTCTCCTACCTCAGCCTCCCAAGTAGCTGGAATTACAGGCACACGCTACCACGCCCAGCTAATTTTTGTATTTTTAGTAGAGATGGGGTCTCACCATGTTGGCCAGGCTGGTCTTGAACTCATGACCTCAAGTGATCTGCCTGTTTTGGCCTCCCAAAGTGCTGGGATTGCATGCGTGAGCCACTGTGCCCAGCCTAGTCATATGATTTTTTAATGGGGAAGAGCTTAAGGTTTTCTTTTAAGTAATATACATATAAATTATTGGGCCATAAGTGTGCAACATCTTGACCTATTTTAGGAGAAATATACATCTGAGAGATACTATTTATCTGTATTACTGAAATAATTGACATTAAAAAATTATAGACACATTTATTTCTACTACAGTTGAGTAATTAAGGTACTTATCTGGCTCACTAAATACAGTAATTTCTGACTTGCTGTGTGCACATCTGTTAAATCCACCTTTGTCCCCAGAATGTACTAGTAAATATTTATAAATCTTAACATGTTCGAGGTATCTGAAATTTTGCTTACATCTAAGTCACATGTTGCTATGTTACTCAGCTGTTTTCTGAGTACCCTTGCACGTTTAAAACAGCAGAAGGACAGAAACAATATAGCTAGCCACCTCTGTGCTGTTAGTATCTGGGAGGCCTTTCTCTCTGGTGCAAGACTTTTAGAAGTCATTTGAGAGCACACCGAGATATACTAATAGTAGAAAACTCATTTTCCTATTCTACCTTTCTGTCATTGGCATCTTCTTGTAAAGAAAAAAACTGAAATAGAGGCAGATAGCTTTCCACACAATTTGCTAAAAGTTAATTATTTTCTTGTTTATTAGATTACGTATGTAATGCTTTTCATCCTGTGAGTTGAATTAGTATTCTGTTATAAAATAATAAAATAACTGATGGTCATCATAGCAGATCTCTAAATCATCAAGTAAGGGTTACATTGTGAGCAGCATTCTTTGTTTTAAAAGCTGGATTAATGTAATACTTTTCTGAAAGTTTCTTAAAAATAGTTAAAATGTTGTCATTGAAAGGATAAACTTTAAATATTTAATATCTCATGTAGAACACTTTTCCTCCCAATAATTCAAGAAAAATTCACTGATACTGTATATTTCTTTTAGACCTCAGACATACGTGGATCATATGGATGGATCGTACTCACTTTCTGCCTTGCCATTTAGTCAGATGAGTGAGCTTCTGACTAGAGCTGAGGAAAGGGTATTAGTCAGACCACATGAACCACCTCCGCCTCCACCAATGCATGGAGCAGGAGATGCGAAACCGATACCCACCTGTATCAGGTATGTTGGAACAAGCATATGATGTTTTATCTTAGGAGTCAGTAACTTTTTGTTTCAAGGACGAGATAGTATTTTTGGCTTTCAGGGCTTACAGTTTTTGTCACAAGTACTCAATTCTGCCATTGTTGCATGAAAGCCACGATAGACTATACATAAACAAATGTGTCTGCGTTTAAATAAACTCTGTTTAAAACAAACAGGGAGCAGGTCTGATTTGGTCTATGGGGCATTATTTGTAATCTTCTGGTTAGAGCGGACACACTCTTCTAGGAAAATTTAGCTAATAAGAATTTAAAGACTAAAGCCTGTTTCATTTTATTATAGTGTTGTTATTAAGCATATCATGTGCAGTGTATTAAGAAAAATTAAGGATTTTTTGGAATGTGGGTAACAGTCTAAGAAATGGGAACCAAAGATGTGATTATTAATACTAATTTGGTATTAAGGAAAATACTTAAAGAATTTCAGAGAGGATTGGCAGTTGCTCATAATAATCTTTCAGTAAAGCTATTTTGAAGTTTAATCTTGTCAGTTATTATCCAAATGATAAATTTCTAATAGAGAAATATTAGGGAAATTTTCTAATAGAGATATAGAGATCAGCTTTACAATTTTCAGTTAAAAATCCAATTTTCTATCACTGACTCATTTGATGTTCCATCCTCAGGAAAAGAGAGAGCTGTGAATTTCTTTCTGTGGTTTGTAATTAGCTGTCACTGATGTAACTGAAATAGCGTATGATGAGACTTAATAGTTTCAGTATAAATACAACATTATATTGGCCACAAGTATTGCTACAAAATTGCATTATGATCAATGTTGAGTCATTACAGATACTCCTGTCAGTATAGAATTGAGTATTTATCAAAGTGAGCATAAAATGTCTGAGTGGATGCAAAAGTTGCATGAAAGAATGAGACCATTTAGACTATTACAAACCAAAGCACCACTCATTAACTTTTTTTGTTGATATGCTTGTAGTTCTTTTTTTTCCTAAATACTGTTGAAGATGTTAAATTTCTATAGGAGCATGTTAATGGATCTATTTTGATATAATTACTGATAGTCATTTATAGTTTGTGTGGTTAGATTTTCTCTTTAGACTTTTCTCTTTTAATAACTTGCTAGAATCTCTTTGTCATTTCAGTTCTGCTACAGGTTTGATAGAAAATCGCCCTCAGTCACCGGCTACAGGCAGAACACCTGTGTTTGTGAGCCCCACTCCCCCACCTCCTCCACCACCTCTTCCATCTGCCTTGTCAACTTCCTCATTAAGAGCTTCAATGACTTCAACTCCTCCCCCTCCAGTGCCTCCCCCACCTCCACCTCCAACCACTGCTTTGCAAGCTCCAGCAGTACCACCACCTCCAGCTCCTCTTCAGATTGCCCCTGGAGTTCTTCACCCAGCTCCTCCTCCAATTGCACCTCCTCTAGTACAGCCCTCTCCACCAGTAGCTAGAGCTGCCCCAGTATGTGAAACTGTACCAGTTCATCCACTCCCACAAGGCGAAGTTCAGGGGCTGCCTCCACCCCCACCACCGCCTCCTCTGCCTCCACCTGGCATTCGACCATCATCACCTGTCACAGTTACAGCTCTTGCTCATCCTCCCTCTGGGCTACATCCAACTCCATCTACTGCCCCAGGTCCCCATGTTCCATTAATGCCTCCATCTCCTCCATCACAAGTTATACCTGCTTCTGAGCCAAAGCGCCATCCATCAACCCTACCTGTAATCAGTGATGCCAGGAGTGTGCTACTGGAAGCAATACGAAAAGGTAATTTTCTCAGCTCCATGAAAAGCATTGCTATAGTAGCATTGGAAACTTTCTAAATATTTAAGACAAAAATGTGTTCCTTATTTATAAAATTTTAGGTGATCATGTTGTGTACAAATGGCCTTTAGAAAGTAAAGCTATATCCAACTTACATTTAAATTCATTTTCCAGAAAATAGATCACATTTGATCATTTTATTTTCATGCTTTGTAGGTATCCTTAAAATGTTTATTGAGTGGATGAGAAATTTAATATATCAGACTTGTGTTATAGAAAATTTAATTAAAACCCTTTATATTATGCTTAATGTGTATATTAACGCCTTTAAAAATAGTATTTTCTTCAATGTTAAGGCTGTTCTTTTCGGGTATCCATGACACTTACTCTACCAGCTGCCTTTAAAGGAGTGAGGTTCCTCCCTTAGTAACAAAGGAAAGACTTCTCATATTCATTCATTTATTGTCATTATTTCCTAAGCAATGACTGTAGGCCAGGCACTGAGCATATAGAATGAATAATAGTGCCTTTCCCTCAAGTACAATGGATAATGAAGCCACAGAAAATATATTCAACAATGTTTAATTTATTTGACCATTGGGATGATAGAAGAAATGTACCACCTCATTAATTTTTTAGGGGGTGGTAAGCAGGGAGGTATAGTAGAGTATGATGGATAAATAAACTCTAGATACCTACTGGGATACCTGGGAAGTTTTACCAACTAATAACACAGATAACATAAAGATTTAATGCCTCTCTCAGTGTGATTTCTTCACATTCTTTTCTGATCTTTTTATTTTTCCTATTAGTATTTCTCATGTGTATTTGATTTTATTCCAGAAATGTTAATAATATCAAGTATTTAGTATTTAGTATTTTGATTTAAATGAATGGTTTGGATTCACTATATCAGGTATTCAACTACGCAAAGTAGAAGAGCAGCGTGAACAGGAAGCTAAACATGAACGCATTGAAAATGATGTTGCCACCATCCTGTCTCGCCGTATTGCTGTTGAATATAGTGATTCGGAAGATGATTCAGAATTTGATGAAGTAGATTGGTTGGAGTAAGAAAAATGCATTGATAAATATTACAAAACTGAATGCAAATGTCCTTTGTGGTGCTTGTTCCTTGAAAATGTTGGTCATTCTAGTGTTTTGCTTTCTTTTCCTTATAATAAATGACCCTTTTCCTCCATAACTTTTGATTTCTAAGGAAAATATTAGCATACATTTCAAACTAAATGTTTTACAGTGGCTTATCTTTTTCTTCCCCCTGAAAAGACTAATTTGGTCAAATAAACCACTAAGTATTAAGCATGGACAGCTGTTGTTAGAGTAGCAGATTCAGTTTTTTGATATATCATAATTGTGTACTTTGTGAATTTTAATTTAAAGAAAGCAACTGAATTGAAATCTTGAGGGCAGCTGTATCTATTAATGAGCCTTATTCCATTTTCTGATGTTTTAAAAGAAGAAACACTGCCTCGATTATATGAATACACTCAGAAAGTACATTTAGCTTGTAGTGTTGAATTCTCTTAAAGGAATGCTTGAATTTTTTCATTATTGTTTTATTGTTTTTATATACTTGCCTTATTTGAATGTTTAGCAGTATCCCCTTCCCACTTATATATTGTGTGATATGATTTTGCTTGCCTATAGGAGTTAAAAACTTTTCCATGTGAAATAATCTGACTTAAACATACATGTAACTTACATAACTGTTAAGAATAACAGTCTGATTTAATAAATGGTTCATTTTAAAAGTTCATCAGTGTTGCTGTTTGAATAAAATGATTTTTCATAATTTATCAAATACTGTATGGTAGGCTTTAAATAGTGAATGAAAATTTAAAAAACACTTAAGCTACATAATTTCCTCTTAATTGCACAGCTTCATATTGTCTACTGTGTAAGGTAGCTTTTATGTCATTTTCCTCCTAAGTTCATAAACTCTATATTTCTCAACTGTTTGTGGTTTTAAATTAAAACCTCAACTTGTCATCTAATTTCAGAAAACCTTAATTTCAGTTTAACAGTGTTCTTGAAATTACGTTTTGCAGCCAGGCATGGTGGCTCACGCCTGTAATCCTAACATTTTCGGAGGCTGAAGCTGGTGGATCACTTGAGCCTGGGAGTTTGAGACCAGCCTGGGCAACATGGCGAGAACCCCGTCTCTACAAAAGTATACAAAAATTAGCCGGGCATGGTGGAGTGTGCCTGTAGTCCCAGCTACTTGGGAGGCTGGGGTGGGAGGATCACTTGAGGCTGGGGAGGTTGAGGCTGCAGTGAGCTGAGATCATGCCACTGCATTCCAGCCTAGGCAGAGTGAGACCCTGTCTGGAAAAAAAAAAAAAGAAAAATTGTATTTTGCAATGATAAAATGAGTTAATGTTTGCACAACTTAGAATTAGGGGTGGAGGGGAAGCACCATTAATATCAGATTACTTCATTTAAAGAAACAACTCAATGAAGTTTGGGTAAGTTGATTGTAGAAGTGACTGTGGTCTTCATTCTTGCCTATATCTACTACTTTTGCTGTACAATTTCCAGTTCTTCCCATCAAGAGGTGAGTTCTGTTCCCACGCCCTTGAATCTGAGTGTCCCTGAAACTTGCTTTGGCTAATAATAGCATGTAGCGAAAGTGACGATTGTGCCAGTTCTAAGCCTGGGTCTCAAGAAACCTTGCAAGTTTTAGCCTTCTCTCCTTCCATCTCCCTACCTCCCTCTCTCAAACCTCTGCCATGAGAATAATCCCAGACTAGCCTGGCTGAAGATCAGAAACCTCATGGAGGAGAGGTATCTCGGGTGAGACCATCTTAGACCAGCCAAGCCCAAACTCGCTTGCTGGTGGTAGACAGATAAGCAAGCCTGGACAAGGTTAGCCTAGACTAGCCCAGCCCAGCCCACTGATTCAAAATTCATGAGCAAAAATAAATGCTTATTGTCTTACACCTAAGTTTTGAGCTGCCAGCATTATTGTGGCAATAGATGGTTGATGTGCGAGGTCACTTTGTAACTTGATAATTTGGAGGAGGCTATCTAGGCAGATAACTAAGGACCTGTAATCTTTATAGAATAGGAATAATGAACCAAATTCTATTGTGGCAATTCAATTTGGACATTAAAAAAACATTTTCTGATAGCTTTAATAAAATGCTTGATTTGCTCTTTTGGGTAGCCTAGAAAGAACAAGAGATTAGAGAGCCATTTGAAGTTCCTTTCCAACGTCATGAAAATGTATATTGTCAAATTTAACTCAAGAAAATATGTCACAGTTTAAAGTCTGTCTAAGTGCTCTTACAGTCAAAAGGCGGCAACTAGTATGTATATTTTATAAAACTCAAATATATATATATATATATTTGGGGCGAGATAACCAAAACCTAATAGTACTGGTTTTGAAGCAGCTAAGGATGTTACAAAAGGAAATTGGTGAAGATTTCTTAATAATAGAAGCAAACATGTTAATCAGTAAAGCCCTGCAGTATATATGCTCAGTAGTCTATGATAGACTTTTTTCGTTTTTCAGAACATTTTTGGAAGATGAAAAAGTGCCTGCGGACTAAATAAGCCAGATATGTAGTGTCCATTTTAAAATCAAAATAATCTTTTAATCTAGATATTTAGCTTAACTTGCTGAGGGAATTTTGGAACAGAACATTCAGTGGCCAATTTTCATACCCTAAGAAGAATGAAAGTTACTGGGTAATAACTGCCTTCTTGTTGAGTTGGTGTACTACTCAACAGGGTCATGCACAAGCATAGAATCAGGAAAAAAAAAAAAAAATGCATTGTGTACCACAGGGGAAACAATTGGCTTCGCTTGTTTTGGTTGATGTCGCCTATTTACCTCTATTATCAAATCCAATGAATGCTTTTTAATCCTTAATTCACATATTCTGTGTTTATTCTACTTCCTTGAAGCTTTCAATCTGTTGGGCCTTTGTTTTGCTGATCCTTCTTCTCCTTCCCAGGAGGAGACAGAAGGAGGAGAGGGAAATTCCTAGCAGCAGTGGTGTTTGGGATGAAATGCAGTCATTATGGAGGAAAAGGGAGTTATTCTATATCTTTTCCTAATGAAGGAATAGTCATAAGCTTCAGATTTATAAGGCATTTTAAGCCATCACCACTGCTTTTATGACTTATAATCAATCTGGGCAGATGAGATGACTTCCAAAGCATTTTCGTTTTGTAAATATTTACTGAAAGATAATAATAAGGTTCATTTAGGTTGTTTTCTATAAATCATGAAACATCTTCCTCTATTTTTACTTTTAGAAAGCTCTGCCCTTTAACAACCATCTCTCATCTGTATTTTCATGAAGTCTTCTCTAATTACAACTGGAGCTCATATTCCTTTTGAATTTCTTTTTTGTTTTTTTTAAGACAGAGTCTCATTCTGAGCTGGAGTGACAGTGGGCTCAGAGTCTCACCCAGGCTGGAGTGCAGTGGCATGATCTTGGCTTACTGCAGGCTCCGCCTCCTGGGTTCAAGTTCCTTTTGAATTCCTGTAATTCTTTTATTATAAGCTTTTTTCAAGTGATACCCATACCATTTTGCATCACAGTTATTTCCTATTTGAGCTTGCCAAATAGATTACTTGCACAACAGCAAGGGTGTTGTCTTAAATACACAACTCACAATATCTCTTTGCATAAAGAGGTTCAGAAATACATTCTTTTTTATTTGGTCCACTAGGCCTCTTAAAATTATTTCTTGCTAGGCACTGCTCCTGTTTAAAATTTCTTTCTCCACTAATCTCAGTAACATAGTTGATGTAAAACTAATCCTAATTTCATCAGAACTTTATATGTGTGTATTTTAATAAATGAAAAGTATAGGAATGATTCTTCTAACCAAAATGTGAAATGTATTAGTGTTTCTGAAGTCATTTCTTAAAACAGCAAAATTGATCATGTGTTTTAATTTCATGGGAATTCTCATGAATTACTTTGAAAACACAGCTTTAACTTTGTCCTTAGTAAACATAACACTGCTGTTTATTTTTTCATTTTCACTCCACTACGTATATCTTAACCCCAGCTTTTTTTTTAAACCACTTTTCCAAACTGAAGCAAATCTAAAATAAATTTAAAGCTCCTAAATAGTTCAAAAATTCCTTTTAGAATACTTTATTTCTGTAATATCTACTCAGTAAAAAAGTACAAATAAACCAATGCAAGATATTAATCATGCAGTATCAGGATTTAAAGGATGGCTTTGCTGTGTTGAACTAATGAAATGGAATAAATATCAAATTATGGTTATTTCTAAGTTGTGCCATATCGCTTATAATTAATTAAAATAATGTTACTGAAGCCAAACAGAATGCATAGGACCCTTGGAATACAAATAAGTTTTTTCCTCCCTTGATTCACTGCTGTACTAAGAGCAAATTTATGTCCTCCATGATTTGGCCCTAGAATACATCAGTAATCTCTGTTGCTTTTCAAGCTGACAGCCAGGCTCTGAATAAAGAATGAATACCAGCCTTGAATGAACATTTCAGGCACTTTTTTTTAGAAGGCTAGTCATCAATACCTTTTCTCATTATTGTAAGGCCAGCTGCTCTGGTTTTCCTTTAGAAAAAAAAAAAAACATAACTGAGCATGTATTGAAGTCATCTTTCTCAAATTATTTATAGTTTCTTTTTTGTATATTTGTTTAGTGGTAATGATTTTGAATATTTTACAGTATCTATATAAATGCAATCCTTGTGTATATGTATGTGTTATAGTCAAAGACTTTTTGATAAATTTCTTATTTATCCTGCCTTTAAGCTAGCTTTTTCTATACCACTCTTTTGACACCAATGTCTCCAGGAGTATTAAAATTCCCTATCTTCCTTTCTGGCCTGGAAACAATATAAAAGACACAAAAGCCATTAAGTCGCAGTATGTTTGCCATTGTAACAGCTTCCAATATTACTTGCAGTGTCCATTTCATTCTTACCTATGAAAACCATGAAATTTTATGCTTCTAACTTTAATGAAAATCTTGTAGGGACTGTGTATACCATTCCAGATAAAGGAGCACATCTCCTATTATTAATGGTTTATTTGATATTTTTATTATAGATTGTATATCTTTTCATTTATTCAGCAGCATTTTTTGATGCCTGCAGAGTTTTGAGACTGCTGGATATTGGGGCCACAACAGTGAGTAGACAGAGCCCTACTTTCGGAGTATACAGATAAATTAACAAAGAACAATGAATGTTGTCAAGGAAGCTCATAGTAAAGAGAACAGTCCTAGTCTAGGAAGTCAGGAAAGGCCTCTAAAAGGAAATGACACTGAAGGTTTGCGATGAACCTAGACAGATAAATGTTGGAGTGAGTGTAGAGTCTCCCAGGCAAAGGAAACAGATGCGTGTAAATGTATGCAAATGCTTGGTGCAGAGCATATAAGCAATGCAATAGCTGGAAATACATTAGAAAGATAAGCAGGAGCAAATCATAAGAGGATCTTAGGAAACATAGTAAGGAGTTTGCATTTTATTCCATGGGCAATAAAACTGAAGAAGTGAGTTACCAGTACAGCATTTTGGAAAGATAGCTGATGGCTACAAAGTGGTAAATGGATTAGGGAGAAGTCAGCTTGGAGGTCAAGAGACCACTCAGGCTGTTAGAATGGGTGGACAGATGATAGTTATGGTGGTGGCAGAGGACAGAAATAATGAGATTTAAGAGACATTTAGGATGTGGGATATACGAGGCTTGGTAATTGGAGAGGAAGGATTCAAGGATGACTTCCAGGGCTGACTTAC